ACACGATGGTCATGCTCATGTCATGTCATGTCATGTCGCACGTCGCAATGACCAGCTGGACGAAAAGGTTATCCGTTTGGAATGGAGCGCCATAGGTACGTATGTAAGCATGCCACCGACCTCATGCGCGCCCCAGACTTGGTCGTGCTGATAAGTGGTTCGATAAAGGCCTCTCTCTCTCTCTCTTTCTCTCTCTCTGCATGCACATATGTATTACTTGGTATGAATAGACCGGCATGTATGTACTCCATAATGCGAGTCTGGGGGCCAGAAATAGCCGGAACCATATTCCAGAACAGGACGGAGCACAGCCAGTCGCGCAATCTTGGGCAACAAGATGCTGCTTCATGAACCCCGGCTTGATTATGCTACGTCTCCATCCATGCGACGACACTTGTGGGTTGAGCCGATGGCCATGGAGAATCATGGTACGTAGGAATGCTTCCCCAGACACTCTCCCCCAAGGTGCGACTTGAAAGTGCCACTTTGGCTTCGATTCCCTTGCACGATACCTGTGGTGCCGAGAGTGTCTGCCGTATTACCCCAGTCCGCCAACCCAAGTACGGAATCTACGTATGTACTAGTAGTAGTATTACTGTACATGTATTTATTGCACATGCCGTCCACGATCCACCATGGGGTTGGTTGCTGATGGACTCTATCGTTGGAACTTGATATTGCGCTCGCGTGGAAATGGAACATGATTGGAGGGCTAAACGGAGACGTATCTGGACGAGTGAATCGAAATCAGCCCAGAAGCCACTCGGTGCAACTTGTTGGCTTGACCCGACAGTTGGACCTCGCATCTCTTGTCGCACCCAAGGGAGGGAGGGAGTGTGTTGGGCTACTCGCTAAGGCTTGCCAGCTCGTCACGAGAAGGGAGACCGATGCCTCAATGATTCCAATTCTGCTCTGGTTGCGCAATCGTAGACTCCAAGACTTGCCAAGGCCGCGGGACCAGGCGCGTGCTGTCTATCCCGTACCAAATACCCGGGTGTTAGTTAGCATGGGCACGGGCGGCAAGAGTCCTGTCTTTTTTATAACCAAAGGACAAAGAAAATGAAAGCCGGGACCTGGTGCACGCTCCCGACTGTAAGCAGGCACAGCAGGGCTAGGGCTGGTGTTCGTCAGGTCTCAGATTGTCGCCCCCATGGGATGCTTCCCCGGTTGTTTGCTCCCCCAGTCTACGGGCTCCTGTTTTACTTTTTTTTTTCTTTTTTTTTTCCTTTGATCTTTTTGCTCCTTTTTCCTAGTACTTCCCGCATCACTCAACAGACAATGTCTGAGTCGGCGGCAGCCAGCCTAGCTCCCGCGGCAGCCACGCGCTCTGGTTGCCATCGTGGCCAAATGAGGTCCCATGGGCTCTTGAGGTGTCAGGCTATCAAACGCCATATCTTGATAGTTCGCTCGCCTTGCACGCGGAGTCGTGGCGCTTATCAGCCTCACCCTCGAGGTCGAGGGGCCTGGACAGAGGCCAAAGGGCCGCCAACGCCAGCACATCATCTGGTGTTGAGCCCCCAAGTCCTGATATCTCTCTCTCTACCTCTCTACCCCGTACGCGAGGGCTTGGGCACGCAATTTGTCTCATCAGCACGACGTGTCGTACCCCCGGGCGTTCCATTCCCCAGGTTTACCGCACCTTCGGATGTAGTTGTCGTAATCTGCACTGCTTCTGGCCAAGGTCAACCAATTGACAGCTTTTGGATTGGCCGCCTCGTCCATGAAACCTACGCCCGCGACCACACCACACCTTTCAACGTCCTTAGCAGCTTGTATCGACAAGCTGAACATGACGGACGCGGAGGTTGCACCTCCTTTGGGGGCCGTACAATAGCATGCGACGAGCACATCATTCCATGTACATGTGTCATAAAATGCCCTTTTCGAGACACTAGTCGGCAGGGCATCGGGCTGGCTGCTGTGATATTGAATCGCCTCGCCCAACCTAGCTCCATTGGGCAATCCCGGGGGGCGCTTTGGTCTTGAAATCTCCTTGACACGGCCAGGTAGGGAGTGGACCAGTCCATCCGCTGGCAACCGCTCTTTGCGTATCAGTTTGACAAGGCTTGCACCGCGATAGACAATGGCAAAACCCCCATGGGCCCCCATGGACCCCATGGACACGCTCAATCGCGCCATCATTGCGCAATGCCCATCAGCAAGTTTCGTATTTCGTCTCTGGTGTCCCTGGGACCAGTCTACTCATTTCCTCCAGACAGCATGTAATATGCAAGCCGCAATGATTCCAGCGGACTGGTTTGGCTGCAAGCCTCACAGGCCAGCTTCCAAATGCGGACAATGTTTCCTCCAGACACCGTGAATGGCGGCTATTGCCCACAACTTACTTGTAGATAACACAACGGTCGGCGGCCTTTTGGCGTGCACCAAGTGCCAAGGGCACAATTGTGTTGCTTGACAAATTGTGGCTCAGTATCGCGTGCCTACCTACTAGCACCAAAAAGATAAAATAAAAAAAAAGAAGGCCGCTACATCGTAGCAACAAAGGAAGCCCTCGCATTCACTCCCCGTTTGCGTTAGAGATGCACGGGATATTCGCTCGGAACTATGATTGGAACCTTCTTTGGGCACGAGAGGCCACGATATCTTTCATCTCCACACTAGCTTCGTTTTTAGCCTCTTTCACGTGCCAAAGGACTGGACTGGTGATGATAATACTAATACCAACATACGACGACTACTACTCCAGACTCGCTCACCGCGGAGATTGTGGCGCCTACATTTCACAGAGCCCATGTCACATTGCCGACACCCCACGTGCCCTTGTGCTCTCTCTCTCTCACCTCGACCTCACCTCACAACAGGGCCAAATGGCGATGGCGCGGGGCTCCGCTCGGCGGTCGGATTCCGACCCGAGGCTGGTGGTGACTTCCTCCAGATTTGTCTTTCCTTCTGGTTCATCCCGCTGCGTCACGTTGCCACCCAATCAATAACCGAGATCACGCCTCGGCATCGCCGTCTCCGCTCAACCTCCTCCTTTTCCTGGGCCAGTCCACCGAGGATATCAGCAGTGCCATTGCAAGTTCAATCTCCATTAAACCATCACGGGCGCATAAACAGCCTGTCCATGTCTGACTTGGGCGCCAGAATGATCATGGCGGTACCACCCGGCCCCTTCCCCCAGGCTGCTGCTGATGCGGTGCCCCGTTGTCAGTTCAAGCCACGCGATTGATAGCAGATCTCCCTCCCTCCGCATGGCTAAATTATTTTGCCCGACTTTCCGTATCTAGTTGCAACCTTGACGGCCACTAGTGGTTCATGCCCTCGACGATAGATGAGAGCCCAGACAAATGACGGGTCTATCCATCACTCTGTATGTACTCCGTACGTGCTCCCTTTTTTGGTGTCTGGCTTGCATCTATTTCGCGGCGTCTCCAGGCCAAGTTGCTGCACACCCTTGCGGATAGATGCACCTGTCCCTGCAGGTACCATCTACTATCCCTGGGCTTGAAAAAGAGAGAGGGAGTGAGAGAGAACCTGCTACTGAAAATACCATGTTTCCTCAGGGGTATTCATTCATCAGTCGATTGTGCTCAAGGCTGCGTCTTCCCTTCACAATATACAAGTGTATGTATGTATGTGCATTGACTTGGCGGTCATGTCATACATGTAGATTGCTGCCGTGTCACCATTCTCCTCGAATTTCACGGATGGATGGCTATTGTGCTTTTGAGTCATCTCTACGGAAACAGCTGGAGCATAAACAAACAAACACCAGCTTTAACGAGTATTGTGCCTAATCCGCAGTGTCAATGGTCCCCTCGGATCACCGCATTAAAGTCAATAGCCGGCGGGCATTTGCCATACGCTCATGGCCAGCCAATCTTGGACCTTCAACTCATCGACAGTACGAGAAATTTTGCATTGTGCAAATAGAATCAAAGGCATCAACTGTGCCGTGTCAATGCTCGGAGCCGCTTTGATTGCAGTGGCAGTGCAACTTGTTACAAAATGCCTTTTGCTGAGTTTGAGAATTGTGGAGGGATCCCACGACGCTCGACGTGATGCGCTCAGCTGCGAGCATTATTCGAAATTCCGGTCCGCGACGTTACATGTCCTAACGAGACAATAGCACCGAGTCATTGTAGATGTTCTCGCTCAAATCCCGACTTGATTCCAACGCCCGAGCTGCAGGAATAGACGCTTTAGGTCTCCCATGCCGAGGGATCATTTGGTCCATGTATGTAGCCTGATGTCTTATCTGAGTTATCTCTCGAGTTGTGGGCGCACTCTCTCTAGCTTCCGGTGGCTGATGATTACCCCGGACATTCGGCTGTACTTTGCTCGCCTGCCCCGGATCTGGCTCCATATCGTTTATTGAGGCTCAACTCAAACAAAGGCCGTTTGCCAGAAACCCATCGACCACTTAAAAAAACCGACACTGATGGCGTCTGGGTTTGCGGGCGGAATAGCCTCTGCAATTCCGAAATTAAGTTCACCAGTCACCAAATGGGCCAACAAGCGTTCCGGCCATGGAAGTAGTTCTGACTGAGACCGAAGACATCCCAAACACAAAAGCGCCGAGGCTAATGACTTGAGCACGTTTTTTTGGAACAAGTTTCGACATGACTATTGTTGTCAAGACGTGCCAAGCAATGATTTCAACGTCGTACAAGGATGGCCCAGACTCTGGGGGCGTGCGGGGAGATAAGGAGAATCCCATGTTTCCGTTTGTGATGATGTTTTGGATAAAGTATCCGGCATGGATGGCCCAGATGCGACGATAGCAATTTGTCCATCGCAGCACCACTGAGTGAACCTACATACAGATCCTATGAAGCTCTTCGGACGAAAATGGCCAAAATTAGCTTTCCTCACGAGCGCGACACCCTCCACTCCAGATCCAAGCCGGGGAACCCTCAACGAACATGTCTGGGTCACGTGATGTCGCGCTCAACCCGACTAGGCTCTCGCGTCTTACGTGACGGCTTGGGCATCGTCGTCACGAAATCTCATGCCGCATCAACCCATGGATTCGGGAAATGGACTATCATTCCATCCATGGACATGACATATCTAGTTTTGATATAGCTGGAACTCGTGAGCTTTTCGGAATCCGTCTTGATTTGTCAATCGTTAACGGCGTCTACAGATCGGCTGCCCACAGTTCAGGCTTCACAGGCCTTGAACGAGCTCCAGGATGATGGCAACCTTTACTTATCCACGGGCTTGGAAGAGCTGGATCAAGCTCTCTTGCCGCCTACACCAGCCGCATCTCCAGGCTCTACCTCCGTTGGCGGAATCAAGAGGGGTCAAATAACGGAAATTTGGGGTCCGTCTGGAACAGGCAAAACTGCAGTCTCGTAAAGCTCGCCCGAACCAACCTGGCTGCTCAATGATGATATGTTTTTTTTTCTAATTTAATGTGCAGGATACAGTTGGCTGCGAATTCCATCCATAATGGAAATGATGTTGTTTGGATTGGTAAGCATCGTACCCTCACACACTTACACATCAACTCCTCTGACGGCTTTCAGATTGCTTCCAAGAGATGGACGTCTCTCGGCTAGAAAACGTGCTGGCATCTATAGCAGAAGATGCGGTGCCTGATGGCTCGACGAGGGCTGAACCGCCCGCTGCCGGCCGGGGTAAGTTTGCGCAGTTTTCATGTTTGACCCTTCCACATTTCATGGCCCTGGTATCACGGCCGAATGCAAAGTCTATACCAGAAGGGACCGCCTTGATGGTCGTCCACAACCTCTCCGCTTTGATAAATTCGTCTTTGCCAAGAAGTGTAGATGGAAAAACAGGTCCTAAGAGCAACAAGGGTAAGTGCAAACTCCTGTGCCAGCTCTGGCGCAGTTGCTAACGGTGAGACCAACGCGCAGGCCCAACAGCTTCAACCAAGCGGCTCCAAGGTCTGCAATTTATCATTAATGCACTTCAGAAAGTAGCGGCGACTAAGAATTGCGCCGTTGTCGTCTCCTCGCAATGCGCAACTAGAATGCAATCAGAGCACGGGGCCACCCTCGTGCCAGCAGTCAATGCCTCAGTATGGGAGCAAGGGATATCTACCCGAATAGTCATGTTTCGAGATTGGGCATGGAAGAACGGCGCACTTGTCAGCATTTTCGTGGCAGGGCTACAGAAGCTAGATGGTAAATCTGGTTACGACGCGATAGAGCGAGCTGCGGCCTTCAATGTCACAAGGGTAAGTCTCTCTGTTCAGTTTGGCTTTTGCACACCAGCAACCTTGAGACGCATTATAATGTGTTTTTTTTTGCTAACGGTTAATGGCGTAGACTGGCATTGCAAGAGTGGAATGCGATGCCTCCAATGCCCCCGTAGAGCCTGCGGACGTGGTTCGAGGAAAGCGAAAGCTGGAACAGACCGACTTGGAAGTCCCAGACAGCCAAGACGACGAAGACTATGGCTGGGCAGACGATGATGAGGCAGCCCTGCCAGCCCCTCCACCGCAGTGGCAAGGGAGTGAAGACGTCCTGTTAGGACAGGAGCTTGGCCGAGGCGACGATGGTAGGGATGAGGAGGAGGATGGCTGTGAAGGCAGCCACACGCCATCCTCAGAGGCCACTTATTAGAGACCGGTGAAGCACCGAATAATACCGGGGCGAAAATAGCATAAAATGGGACCGCTGCACGGAGCCTCAACTCACAGAGCCTCCACCGTAAGTGAATAGAATGAGAGTATTTGACGGTGAGGCAGTCGATCTGAGCCAAGCAAATGCCGCCTGCAGGCACGCACGGGGCAAGGGGCAGAAAGGGCCAACTGCCATGATTCAAGAACCCTCTCAACCTGCTAGTCTCGTATCAACTCGTCGGCGAATTGTCGGTTTGACTATGTCTGGCTGGCTTGGCCCACGATCGGTCAATTCCGGTGCCGGCGGAAAGGGCTTCGTCGCGTCTGCCATTGCTCGTCACCGCCGCCCGGCTATGCGAATGCTTCTGGAAGGCCCAAGAAATTCTCTTGATGGCATCATCGAAACACTGGCCTAGCGGCGCCCCCACAGAGACACCCGCGCTGGGCGCTGGAGGGACAGGCAGACAATGGCTGATGCTAGTACACACAATATTGTACGGAGCACATTGCATGCAATACGGTTGAGCACTGAGAGACGAAGAAACAGGCTTGGGCGCCCCACATTGTGGTGTTGTACCTGTGGGGAGAAGGTACTTGAGTACTCCATACATGGAGAATTTTTTCTCGCGTCGTCCTGATCTGCTCCACGTTTTCTTAACGGCACACCTCATTCATCAGACCAGCCACCAGCAGCGACAGCAGCAGCCTTACATGCGAACCGGGGGAGGGAGAACTAGTAGTACATTGTATATGTATGTACGTACATGCTAGTAATCAACAAAATTTTTGAGCAACGGGGACATCTTGAATCGACAACCAAAAAGGGACCGAGTAGCGGTGCTGGGGTTCCCCTGGCCATCTTGCGCCTAGCGGTCGGCTTCTGTTACTCTGTTGAGTTCGATTTCCTGGGGCCGAGATACATGCAATGCCTTCCCAGGGACGGCGCCCCTGTGGCATGGTTGCTCCTGTTCACAGTGGAGGCTTGGTTGTTGGTGCCTACAATAACAAGACTCCGTACTCCGTACTCCGTACATGTGTCCTTACTGCCGACACGAGCCATTCATTTAAAGAGCAGCCACTGGGGTTGGCATAGATGTGGGTTGGGTATTGCTCATGTTGTCAGTTTTACAAGTATGTATGGATGTATTTGCACGCCTGAGTCACAACAGTACGGGGCTTGGACAGCCCCGGGCTCTGGCCATTGCTGTTTTGCCTTGACCTCTTCTTATTATGCAGCAAAGCTAGTTATGTACGGGATCTTCACTAATGTGCCGTCAGTCCAGGCAAGTTTCCTCTGTTGGCGTTGTCAAAGCTTCGAGTTCGCATAAATGAAGGCGATGATCAGTGGTCTCCGGCTGCCAATGACAGGCGATTACGACGTCTCCCTCCCTCCGCCTTAGCCGCCGAGGAGACTCTTTTGACCACAAGGGTTATAGCCACAGCAGATGGAACAGTGATCTTTTATGATGACAAAATGTCTTGTCGAGGGTGGGAGCGAAACTCAAGGCCCTCCAACTTGCCTGATGCTGCTTCCATTGGATCGTCCATAAATAGTTGCCGCTTATTGACAGGACGACTCAAACAGAAGCACACGCCCAAGCCAACAATGCCTTTCTTGAAACGCCTGAAACATGCCTGGTTCTGGGGTCTGACGAGGCCCGCCTACGATCTTACTTGGGGTGCGTATACTCCATATCTGCGGCACCAATTGTATGCTCAGGCAATTTTTAAAAAAAAAAAAAAAAAAAATCAGTCCCTGGCTCGCGGCATAAAGCAACCATCTCCACATGTAGCCGCAGGTTGAGCTGATGGAGCCGCGGGATAACATGGTCTGGCGCAGTTTTTGCAACCCAAGACGGGGGCGGGAACAAGGCACCTCGTCAACTTCGGTTGGGTGCAAATGGCATGAAAGCACGGGGAGTTGGGTGATGGATGATGCCCTGCAGCCGGAAACGCAGCTCTCGCATCCGGCAGGGAGGCAGCAGTTGGCAGTGGATGGCAGAATCAGTCGATCGGGACGATGCAATGCCTGTCTGTTTTGCACTTTTATGCCCTAGTCGGCTGATTCGCAACCCGATACATCAGGCCTTTGGACGAACCATCATGCCACGCATGGGGTCTTGGCCGGTTGCCGATGCCACTTTACCCCAAAGCCGGGGCGAATCTGTCGCAGACTCACAGCAAACGCTGGTTTCGCCAAAGGACAAACCGTACAACGACCAACAACAAGAGGCAAACCCAACAAATGGCAACCGCATCCCGCATTGTGCAGATGTCACGTCACTACGGAGTACTACTCTGTATCAAACGGTTTATTTTTCGGCGGAGCAATAGCAATGCTCTCTCCCCCCGCTGATCGCTACCCGGATGGTGTGACAATGAAGAAGGTGTGCCAATGAATTGCGCCAACGGAACGTTCCCACGGTGTGCGGTGTGTGCCAGAGGAGACCTCCGGGAGGCGGCTCAAGAGAGGTTCCCCCGTGTTGCCGACACACTAAAACACATTGACAGATTCGCCCGTGTTCCTATTCCCAGATTAGCATTGGCTATCTGCATTCCCGGGTGTGCCTGGGGTGTCCGACCGGCGGCACTAGGCCGGCACGTCGTTACCGGCCCCGGCATCGTGCCTGTCTGTCCCTCGGCATCAGGAGCTGCTGTGTGATCAAGTTTGCAGTGCATGTCTGTCTGCGGCCGGGCAAGCGACTTGACGAGACTAATGCCGGATTGACAGGCACGAAAAGAAGGCTGGATTCGGGCCGTGTGAGGCAAGCTGCATTCGAGTAAAGTTTTTTTGCCGCCTTGCTATACCGCATGCCTTGGTTCTTTGGTTGGAGCATCTTCCTCTCACACCCTTTTACGAGCGGTGGTGCATCGCGATTCGCCGACATACGCCGTCTATAATCAGTCGATAATCTACCTGCGACAGATCTACAGCGTCGTTATTGTAGTTGCACATTACATACCCCGTACTACAACATGACAAACATGTCCCCAGCTATCCCCTCCTTTCGGCTAAATGCCGCGGCTATGTACCAAGTACGGCGCATCGGTTTGTTTCATCCTGTGTATGTATGTATGTACATACGGAGGAGTTGGTGGCTGTAGTCGCCATCATTCGACTTTATCGTTTGTGCAAATAAAACAGCTGATAATGACCACATGCCCCGGTTGCTGATACCGTCATCCGTCACATGCTAAATGAATTCAATGTTGGTTCCCCACACAATTGCTCCAGACAACGTTTGGCTTTTGGCGGCCCCGGAAATCTCGGCGAGACACTTATCAGAGCTTAGCTGAGCTCAAGCCTCGTTTTTTTTTTCTTTCTCAAATTGCCATGTGAATGCTCAGCGTACTACGGAGTAGATGCCTCCTTATCTCTGTGCCTCTCCCCTCTCCCCCTCTCTTACGCCTGTGCTTTGCGCCACCCGGGAACTGGCAATCGAGATGCGAATGCCGGGGTGTTTGTTCCAAGATTAGAGCTCTGGGCTTGCTCGTCTTAGTTGTGGCTTGCTGGCTTGCGTACTTGTCGTTTTGCGACATTCCGTGCTGGGGATTGGTCGTCCAGCCTGCCTTTTCTTTGGGTGCGCTGTTTGCTGCGAGTTGTCGGCGACTTTGGAAGCCATGTCGTGGACAAGCCTGCATGGCCCAGAGTGGCTGGATGCTGGATGCTTGACGAAGCCGTGGCGATTTCATCGAGGGCGTCTGCGTAGACTTGTGAATCTTTCGCTGTTTGTTTTCGTCCCGGTTTGAGATGCGTCCGCAGAACTCCGTGACGTGCTTGATGGTCTCTAGATTTGAGCATTGCCTGGGTGGTTTGCCGGCAGTGTGGTTTTTGGTAGTTGCCATTGGTGCACGCTGGTTGAGTTGGTGGTGCTCTTGTGGCAGATTAATGCGCATTCGAATCTACTTGGCGGCTGATGTGAGTTGTAGACGCTCTCTTGGAGTTGTTCGCATCCCGACTGTGGCATGTGAGACGCGCGTGTCTGCTGTTGAAGCCTACGAGCCTGGAAACCAAGTCTCGGGAGACAATGTATCCCGAGGGCTTGATTATGGGGGAATTCGATCCTATACAAATCCATATCGCTCCTGTGCTGCGAAAGAGTTCCCCCCGTAATGCATAGTTGCAGTCCTCTAAAGATCAACCCATATATTTGTGTCTCCTTTCATAGTTAACATGAAACTGTCCAAGCATGAAATGGAGAGAAAGGGGGAGTCCATGTCGCCTTTCAACGTGTTGTCCAAGTCGTAATTCTGGCGCCTCTTGTCTATTCCTGGTAGCTGAGTTGCGTGCAGTTGTCCTCCTCAACGACAGCATACACTCTATGGTAGGATATATCTGCCCACCTGAAAGTGTACGCTAGCATACTGTAGTATATCATAGTATCGATTCGCGATGGCTAGGTACCTGATCTGGTTGGATACCTAGGTACTTTTGCCTCCCACTATAGGTGGTTGAATAGTCGTGCCATCGTATATTTATAGTCGTCGTTGTTTCCAAGACCATTCCTGAGCGCTAGTGTTTGTCAAGCCATAGAACACATTTATGGTTGTTTTAGCTTCATTTTACCGCAAGATGCCTTTAAGTTTGACTGAGAATGGCGGTAGTTCGTTTTCTCTCTTGACGGATGTGGCTTGCTTTGCTTGATGCAAGACCGAGAGACCGCTATAGGGTAGGCTTGTTTCCTGGCGAAGTATACGAACTTGGCGGTGTTGGTGAAGCTGCTTGTGACTGGGGAGGGATGAATCATAACTCCTTCTTCTCCGGAAAACAGACCTGTATTTACTTTCTTTTTTTCTTTTTTGGTAGGGCGGTCTGTGATCTTTATATAGACGTCAAGTACGTGGCATTCACCATCCTGGCTACTTGGCTGACACCATTGCATTTTGCTGATTGACATCCCCCCCTGTGAGACTCCAACCATACAACCCCCTCAAAACCAAAGAGATTAACATTCGATACGTTACGACCAAAAGACCAGCATATACACTTGCTTTGCTTAA